GGAAAGGGAGTCTTGCCTCCTTCCCCTCCATTATTAGGCATGCAGCCTATTTAGCACCTAGCGATAGCCAGCTGGGTAGTTAGCTTTTCATGTTTATATACATCATACCCCCTTGCCTAGCAAACCTGTAAACTTTGAGGGCAAAGATCACACCTTTTACTTCTTTGTATGTCCTGTAACCCCAATATAAAATTAAGCCTTAATAAATAGTTTTGATGAATAAAACAAATATACATCCAGGAAGAGGGAAACAAAAAACACAACCAGATGATCCTTCTCTTAAGGATCAGTGTCAGTATCTTCACATGGTAATGTCTTGTCTTTGTAAACAGCAGGGAAAATTAGATTGGGAAGGGAGGGAGGAGAGATCTAAAAAAAAAAAAAAAAGGCTGCCAAGACAATCAGGATGCATTTTTAATTGAGATTTTAAAAGAAATGATTTTAAGTGGTAGCAGTCTCTGGCAACATAGTGGAACAGTGTGATGAACAGGAGATTTGAGGGCTGAGTCCTGCTGCCTTCCTAACTTCCTCTTTGATTTTGGTTAGTCATTTCCCCTCGCTGAGCTTCCATTTTCTTCTCTGTAAAAATGAAAGGATTAAATTAGGAAATTGGAGTTCTTTCCATTTCTAAAATAATGTCAGTTCTCTGGGACACTAACAAAAGGATGCTGCTTTGAACCAGACTGGCCAGTGTCGGTTAGCACTGAACAGCTACGTTCTGGTTCTTCTCAAACAGAGCAGTGCTCGGAATGTAGTGCATGATTCTTTCAGAAGATGGCAAAGGAGGAAGCCAGCTCTGAAAAAAGGGAGACCCCAAAGTCTCTGCCTCATGCTGTGTTAGTTGTCTCCCTTAGTGACTATTATACTCTGATAATAATAATGACTCAAGCTTCTAGAGAGCTTCCGAAGTTTGTAAAGCACTTTTTCCACAACCCTGTGCGGTGGAAAGTGCAAACGTTATTGTGCCCATTTTACAGATGAGATGGAATCACTGCCAGTAAAGTCAGAGCACCGGGATTCAAACTTAGTTCTCAGGAGTCTAAATGACTCACTTTCCCACTGTGTCACCCTGCCTTCCACTCTGGAAGGCGCTGGCACCAAAAGCTTAAAGTATGCGCTCTGCCTTCTTGACACGATGCTGGACCTGTGCTCCGGAAGCAGGTTCAAGCACCTGTGAATCCCTGCTAGTCCAGCACTGGGTTATGAGTTTCAGAAATACCGGGGTGCTTCTTTTGCAGGTGGATGAAGGTTTGTTTATGTTAAGCAGATTTTCTCTTTCTTCCTTTTTCCTCCTTTTCTTCTCAATCCATGGCCTTGAGCCATTTCATGGTTTAAACAGTGAAAGTAACAGAAAAATTAAACTGATTCATCATATGTATCTGTGGTGGCTGTCCAAGGAGAATGCGGCTTCTGTGATACACTTCGAAAAAGTCAGTAACTATTTTCCAATCATTTCTTCCCTCTAGGAGGGGCTCCATGAAATGGTCCTCAGCATCTAACAGCCGCCACATTTGCCTGTGTCATTATTCTGTAAGCCCAAGCCATGCCCTTGACCTCGTCTCCATTTCCATGTTCCCAAACTCTGAAATTCCTTCATTTAATCCTGACCTTTTACTGTCCCCTCTCTTCCTAAGTCTTACAGTCTCAGTCCTCGATTTCAGCCTTACTATGACCTCCAGCTCTACCACCCCCAAGCTCTTTTCTGCAGTCCCCTCCCTTCTGTGTCTCCATCCATCCTCTGGTGAATCAAGTCAACCCTACACTCTCCTATCCCTTGCCTTGCTTGTCATGACATCAGTACACCCACCATACTACTGTTCACTTGCTGCTGAGCAGAGGTGGAGAAAACCAGTCTGACTGGGTCCATTGCAGATTTATGTTGCATCGTCTTCGCTGGGCCCCCAGTATAGTGAGGCAAACCTCTTAGGTCTCCCTAACGGACTTGCTGTCCCATTTACCACAGTGGCTGTTCCAGACTTGATCCCATTCTATCTTCTCCAGACATTTGCCACAAATTTCATCCTTACTCTCACTAATCTTCAACCTCTCCTATCTATTGGTTCCTTCTCTGCTGTTTACAAACATACCCATGTCTCCTCTTCCTTAAAAAAAACCCTCACCTCATCACACTTTCCTTCCATGTCTCTCTTCCCCTTTTCAGCTAAACTCATTCACATTCAGCCAGTCTCTTCAGTAGCCTTGCTAGTGAAAAGACTTAAGAATGCTAATCAGTGCATTAACCCACCACACATTCTACCAGCCTCCTGGCAGAGAAGGGATGGATTCAAATTGCAGAAAAAGACATTTATTGTCAGGCACAGCTACCGTAGGAATTTGGGGTTTGTTTGTTTGTTTTTAACAACAAAAAAAAATGTTTACTTAAAATAGCAAAGAAAGTGTACCACACTGGCTCAGATCAATGTCAGAGCACCCCCTCATCTCCATCTGAGGGATGTGTTTGATGAGAGGAGATCAGAGAGGGACTGCCAGGGACCTCAATAAGTCACTGAGTTCAGCCCCCTTATTTTACAGATTAATGGCTAGTATTTCTCATTTAATCTTCATGACAACCCTGGGAGGTAGGTGCAGTTATTTATCCCCCACTTAATAAGTGAGGAAACTGAAGTCAAAAGAGGTCTGGTGACCCAGCCAGTGTCACACAGCCTGCAGGTTTCGAGCCAGGTCCTCTTGATTATGAGTCCAGCACTCTATATACCACTTCCAAGGCTGGCGTTCTTATTCCATATACCAAGCTGCTACTTACATGAGTAGTAGGATATTCATCAAGTCAGTTGTTGTTAAATCATGTCTGACTCTTTATGACCCCATTTGGGGTTTCTGCTGTAGTGGTTTGCCATTTCCTTCTCCGGCTCATTTTTCAAATAAGGAAACTGAGGCAAATAGAGTTAAGTGATTTGCCCAGGGTCACCCAACTAGTAAGTGTCTGAGGCCAGATTTGAACTCATGAAGATTAGTCTTCCTAATTCCAAAGCCTGGTGCTGTATCTGCTGTGCCACCAGGCTGCCCCATCAAGTCTGAGAGGCACTGAATTTTTGCCAGTCGGCCTTTTTATGCCTTAGGTAACAGGGAAGCCACGTCAAGGGCTTGGGCCCTAAGAAACTTATTTTATTTTACTATGCATATTTGTTATAAAGGTTTTGGGGGGGGAAGAAGTGGGGGAGGGACAAGAAATAGGGTTGCTCCTCCTCCCCTCCAAAAGAGAAAAAAAACAGTCATTAAAACATGTACATAAAAGAACAGAAGGGAGCCCAAAGGGGGAACATAGATGAGCAGGGCAGCTGTGAATGTAACATTGAATTTATTGTCCATTTTAAAACAAAATATGAGGGAGTCCCGGGAGATCCTGAAGATATGGTGGCCTATTAGGACCTAGAGGAATCCAGATCCTGCCAATAAAGCTCTAAAAATGCATCCGATTTTAAAAGAAGACAAAGAAAATCTGCTTCAAACTCCTCCACCCAGTTGAGTACTGCATGAAAACACTACCAGAATTCTGGCCCCATTCACCAAAAATGACAGGGAAGACTGGACAAGAGCATGGGTGAAGTTAGACACAGATACGAGGGGAGCTAGAAACCCTAGGATTTAGACCTCTAGGAGAACCTAAAGAGCATCTCAGCCCAAACAGCCTCAGAAAGGGTTAGAGGAGTTACCAGTATATGTGGGTCAGTCCTATGACTCCAAGCCAGAGCTCCTCACTCTGCAGCCTGCTGACTGGTGCAGGACATGGAAAGGCATAGGATTCCCTAAATCCCCTCATGTTGTCATGAACTGTGCTGGGCAGTGGAAATACAAAGAGGAAACACACCACGGCTCATGCCCTCTGAGAGCTTCCATTCGCTGTAATTCAGCACCACTTTTATTCTCCAAGCACACCTCCGGCACAGTGCCTCACACATCACTGGCACTTAATAAACATGCATGGAGTTCAGTTGAATTGCCGTTCCTAAAGGGTCTGAAGTCTCCTTGGCAGGCAGCTCTCCGAGGGAGGGTTCTGAGCCGAGAAGCATCAGGACCAAATCCCTGTGTCCGGGAGATAAGTGTGGAGAGCCAGGAAGACAGGCTCGAAGGCCGTGGCAGTGGTCAGGCAGTCGCGAGGACCTTTGTTCAGATGGTGGTTCTTAGAAATAAGGAATAAGATCAAAAGCTCTCGTGGGTGCAAAACGAGGTGTCCGTCCTGCCTCCCCCCCCCATCCCCAGAGACACGAAGCTCTTTAAGCCGATCTCCAGTTGTCCTACAGATTAAAAATTCAAGTGCAGTAGCTGTGAATCAGTACTGGAGTTCCTCAGAGCAGAGGAGGATTTCTCTGTTAAGTCTTCTGTCTGATCTTAGAGCATCATTTTCCATTCTTACTGCTTTCTTTAATCTAATAAAAGAACTGTTCATGTCAGCTCAGGCTTTTAAACGGCCCCAGAGAACCGCCTGGTGGCATGAGAAGATGAAAGTGACTTCTTCAGTGGCAGTCGTAGGCATGATGATTAGCAGTGTTCATACTAGAAAAAACAATTACATTCTTGCCGTGCTTATCATCTTAATAGTCATGAAATTAAAAAATGAGAAACTGGAATCAGCATTAGGAGATTATGTCTCAGTAATAGTTTCATCTGCTGAATTACTGCTGTCCTCTGAAAATTGACTTCTTACTTTTTTTTTAACATATGTATGTGTATATATATAAATGAAGATTATAACGTATTCTTTCAGCTGATCCAGTGTTTCTGTCCAGCACGTTACTGAGAAGTGGTTTCAGGACAGCCGAAGGAACAACCCATTTTTTTAACAGAAACTCCTGGGACTTCAGAAGGGCTAGACTTAAGGAAATTGTAATTCGATATGTTTTACTTAAACCTCTCCTATGTTTGTGTATTTGTGAATGTGAAACCTGCCTTTGGTTTAGATTGACCCTGATGATGCAGACATGGCTGGGAAACATGCCTGGGATCACTTGGTAACGTACAATTTTCTCCTGCCCTTCCAGCTACGTAGTCAACATAGGGCTGATCGACAAGCTTTGTGGCTGCTTCCTGTCCATACAAGGCCCGGTCGATGAGAATCCAAAAGTCGCCTCGTTTCTGCAGAATGCCACGGCTGTCTTACATGGGATGTGCAAGCTGTGTTTCGCTGTCAACAGCAGGTAAGTGCCCTTAGTGATGCCCCAGGACTCTTGACTTGGCGTGCAGGTCTTTGGGGACCCGGGTATTACTATATATAAAATACATCATAAGTTACACATGCACACACACACAAATGCACAATTTCACTTAGCTCATTTGTTGAAATTCTTTGCGTTGTATTTTGTTAGCACTTTTTTCGTCTTTTGTTTAGCTGTCATTTTGAGCTGTCAAAAATTGTGAAATGTGCAGTCCTGCCACCAGCGCTGGCTCCTTGTGTGTGTACTAATTCCTTACACTCCCTTCTTCTGTGATGGGGGTATTTCCTAGGAATGTTCTTATCACAGCTACCCATCTCATCCTCTTTCATACTTAACCTTTCCCTGTCCCTGCTTGGCATTCCAGTCTAAGACTCATCTCATTTTTGTTGTTTAGTCTGGCCACATGTCCTGCCCCTAGCTGGTTTTTCTCGTTGGTGCAGTTGAATGCTGATGAACTAGAACTAAAAGCTGACCCTGTCCTGGGCTCTACAAATTTCAGGTACCAGGTCACACCATGGTGCCTGGCATTTTCTAAAATAGTTATTTCCTATTAAAATATGAATGCTAAGGTTCAAGTTTTGATATAAAAATGAGTGGATTGTGATTTTTTTGTGAACATATAAGGCACTTGGTTGTCCTCTGCCCTTTCCAAGAGAAGTTGTTGCTTTTGATGATGGCTGTGAGTTATTTGGCCCTTTTAGGTTTGCAGAGTCTGCGTGTCCACTCATTTGGCCCTTTCAAAAGTCCTGTGAAGGCTCTATTATTATTCCCATTTTACAGAGAGAGTAAAGGACTTCCTGGTGTCATAGATCCAGCAAGTGTCAGACTAGGCTTCGTCCTGGGCTGGTTTCTCCTTTGCCATCATCACAGGCTGATCTAAAGGCACCAGTTATTTAGACTATGATTTTAAGTAGGTAGGCCTTAGCCTTCACCAGTGTCCTTCTTGCCCACTAATGGGCGGACTGTCTTTTTTTGCTTGTTTGTTTGGTTTTTTGTTTATGAGTATTCTGTTCAGGAGCCAGAGTTAGTTTTCTTTTTCATCTGTGTAGGAGGGAGGAAGGGAGGAAGGCAGCACTGTAGATAAAGACAGTCCCTGCCCTTAAGGAGTTTGCTTTCTGCTGGGAGAAGACAGCACACCAAGAGGACTTGAAGGGGGTTATGGGAAAGGTCCCTGCTGGAGGGGCATTTTTGAAATCTGGATGAGAGAGGAACACAGGCACTAGGAAAAATTCCCCCTTGCAAAAAGGAGGCGGACCCTGCAGAGGGATGCTCCAGGGCCTGGAGGCCCCAAGCACTGAGGGGAGGAGCTCCGAAATGAAGTGGGAAGTCAGCAACGGGGCTGAGAGGGGGAATGTATGTAACCAAATGTGCATACAACAGTGCTTTCAGAAAACTCACTCCATCAGGCAGCCCTTGGCATTTAAGGAAAGGCGGAGAATGAGCCCATGAGAAGATGTGCTCCAACTGGCCCTGCGTGGAGAATCCTCAACCCCAGAATGTTGGAGCAGCCAATTTAATTTAAGCCTCTAGTTCCATAGATTTCCCAGGGTCACTTAGTTCATATTCTCTTTGTGAAATATGAAAAATACATCTGTAAAATGTGGGCAGTGATCTCTCTGGCCCTTAACCTCACAGGGCGGTGGTGGTTTGTGGGAGCAAGTCAGATGATCTGTATAAACCCCTTTACAGACTTTAAACACCAAGGTAAATAAAGGTCAGCGATTGTTCCATGTCCAAAGGGAATGTCACATTCTGCTATGATTAAATTATGTTTTGGATAGAGTGAATTCTTAGTTCCTTCGGAGTTTATGCACTTCTGATGAACTTAAAGGGATTTAGATCAGGGAAATTTGTGTCTAGAATAGATCCTACTTCCCAATGTCTGAACATACTAAAAGTCTTAGCCAGTGCCCTTCTGACATCCAGGAGCAAATGTCAAAACCTATGCTGTGGCATAGCATCTGAGCCCTGGGCCCATGCCAGGGTCTTTGTGGTTTGGGGAAACTACATAGCACCCTAGAACAGCTAAATTATAAAACACAGAGATAATAACTGCATGAACAGGCAGTAGCGCAATTAGGCTTCCCCGATATTAAGTAAAAACATCAAAGTTACACTCGTTTATCTTAATATATGGTTGTTACCCAGTCCTGGGATCTTACATTTCATTTCATGCCACCACAGGTAAGAAGTGGTTGACATCATACTCTAATAGGCTGTCAGCTCCTTGGGAGCAAGGACCACGTCTTCGACATCTTTTGTAGCTCTCACAGCTGCCAGGAGAGAGCATCCAGTGTTATACCTCACAATGCCTGGCATTTTAAAGCTCTTTCCTCACAGCAGCACGTAAGCATGATTATCCCGTTTTGCAAATGACTAAAAAATTAATTGACTTGGTGAACAAATGGACGTCACTGAGCATCAGTCAGCATCCAGGCACTGGCCTTGGGAGAGACTCCAGCCTTGTAAATGGAAAACAGCTTCTGCTTCTCTTCAGGTCCAGGGGGCAACCGAGCTTTGCCACGCCACCCTTCACGCTGAGCTTGGGGGAGCAGTAGAACTTTAAATAATGAATGACTTCCTCCTCTTGGGGATTCCTAGGCCACTTTTTCTAGGGTTTTCTAAGCAAATTGTCACATCATCTGCCTCCTCCTCACCTCTGTATACTGTCTCCATAGCTTTGTCTTATCACTAGAACCAGCGTTTGTATGGTTGTATCCATAAATGATGGAGACTGTAGAAATGCTTGCTCCACCCTAGATCTTTTTGGGAAAGCTTCCAAGGCTTCACTGTTACAAATAAGGTTAGCTCTTGGTTTCTCTGCATCTATTTATATAATCATTTGATTTTTATTATTAACATAATTATGCTATTATTTTCCTATGATCCATGCTTTCATTTGTAGTATAAATCAAACTTGATCATCATGAAAATTTGGCACTATATTGCTGTAGATTCTTTAGTAATATTTTATTTAACTTTTTATATTAATATACATTAGTAATTTGAATATTCAAGTGTATACATCAGTGTTATTGGTCCAAAATATTTTTGTGTTTTGTCCCTCCTTGACTTAGGGATCATGTTTATTTCTTAGATATAGTTTGATGAGGTGCCTTCTTCCTGATTTTGAGAATCTTACTTGCAACGTTGGGATTACTTATTCTTTAAATGTTTTATAAAATTCATTTGTAAACCTTTCTGTACCCAATGAGGCTTTCTTTTTCCTTTTTGATTTCACATTTGTTGTATTCGGTTTTTCCTTCTGAAATTGGGAATTGCCCACTGTTATATTTTATCTTGGTAATGTGATAGACTTCCCCTTTTTAAAAATCAAATTATTTAATAGTTTATAAATTTTATTAGTCTTTTTTAAAAAAAAGCTTTGTTTGATTTGTCAACTCATTAGTCTTTATTTATAATGTTATATCTCTTTCCAATCTTTAGTTGATCAGAATTTTAAACATCTGTTATCAGAAGATAATAAATTAAAGTAGGAGAAATGGTCCAGGTGATTTCCTAATTTAATTTACCAAGAAAACTCCAACTTGACAGCAGTATAAGCTGCTTATCTGAGAGAGTAGATGAGAGCCTTCAGTGTAAAGTCATACCACCCACTGTTATGAACTCCTAATAGAGTCTCCATTTCCTTTCTTTTCTTCCTGTCTAATCTTTAAATTTCCAAGCACGAGTTTCCCTTTTGCATCCAAAGGCTGAATAGTGTATGCCCTATATAGATAGATCTGTTTCTAGTTTCTTCTTGGAAATGATTATTTCATTGGTGTATGCTGCTTTGACTATTTGAACACTTTGTTACATAAAATAATTAAAAATAGTGTTTGCCAAAGAAGGTTGGCAGTTTTATTTTCTGCTGTATTATAGTAATTAAGATAATGCCTATTTTGGCAATAAAATAAATCAGGCAGGAGTAAAATTTGCTTCAGTACTCCATGTCCTACAAGTACTTCCAGTGGCTGCCAGAAAAAGAACAAAAAACTTTTCAGCGAGAGACCTGCCTAAGAATTACCAAATATCACTGCAGGCTTGGTGAATGGGAGGGTAATTAAGTGGGATAATTGACAGCACACGACATTTGAAAATACTCTGCATTGTGGTGGCTCTGGCTTTTATAGTGTTAATTTTAAAAGTCCTGCCACCTGGACAAGGCTTTTATCGTTGTCCCTTTTATCTCCTAATTTTTGCTTAGCTTTTCTAAAAGACCTTTTGGATAGACCAATTAGTATGCTTAATCTCCGCCCACACACAGTGAAAAAAGTATTTTGCTTTTTAATAAATTTCTTGAGAATTTTTTTTTGCATTGTTTTTTTTTTCAAAACAAAAGGTTTACATTCCTTTAAGTAAAGCCAAAATTCACTTCCTCTAACAAAAGGATAGGTTTTTATATTAGGCTTTTTTTATATCTAAAATTTGATATAGGCACCATTCTTAGACAAATGATAATACTTCAGCATATGCATACATGTTACACATATATGTATAAATTCTCTTCCAACAAAGTAATTTTTATTGGGTAGAGGCCCTCAAAAAAAAAAAAAGTATGTCAATAGTGAAAACAAGAGAAAAGCCAAAATTATATCTTGCTTCTTTCCAAGGTCTGTAGGATGTAATAATATATAATCATAACTTCTAGTTAAACATAGACTTTCCTAGCCTGTTAGTGGGCATACATTTGTACTGGAACCAATATGAAGAGATGTCTATATTGCCGTGTGAATGCTTTACCAGTATCATGACAAGTAAATCTTGAGAGTACAAACCTTGCAGTGATTCGGTCCATTATTCGCTGATGACCTACTATGTACAGGACCTTGTGCTGAAGCTTTCTGGGGGAGGATAGAAAGGACCTCAAAAGGAACACAGTCTAGTTCATACTAATGGCAAAAAATAATACCAATTCAGACCAGTTGATAAGAATAATAACACTGACTCCCATTGGCAGGGGCCATCCTCGAGTTAGGAAG